GAGGAAGGGGGGCGGGGATGTGGGTGTAGATGGGGAGGATGGGAAGTCGAAAGCTGTGCTGATTGGCTGACTGGAGGGGGGCTGCATGTCACTGTCTGGGCAGAGCAGAAGGAGTTTTACGACCACGGCATGGGGAGGGGAGGGAGTAAGCCGGCAGAGCTGTATCAAGTCGAAAGCTGTGCTGATTGGCTGACTGGAGGGGGGCTGCATGTCACTGTCTGGGCAGAGCAGAAGGAGTTTTACGACCACGGCATGGGGAGGGGAGGGAGTAAGCCGGCGGAGCTGTATCAAGTGCCTGCATCGCCTGGTGCACTGTCTGGTGCGAACGGATTGGCAGAGTCCCAGTTGTGCCTACAAAATTGCATTATTGGAATGAAAGTCCTAACCTCTCCCCAGCTGTGGGTTGGACACCTTGTGCTTAGATGCCAAACTTTGGGTCATTGTCTTACTTCCTGTTCACCTCCTAGATTGTTTCTACTGCTGCGCGGTGCAGCCTCCCCCTTGCAGCCGAGGACAATTTCCATCCTCTCAGATGCTTTGGGGCGGTCTCCAAGCACCAGCTTGTCCTTCAGACCTGCAGGTATCTTCCAAAGCAGTCCTGCACCACTGTCACCATGGAGCCACCAGCAAATACGTACCAAGGCACGTGGGAATGAATATCAGCCAAAGAACCTGAAGCGTAAACGGACCCATGGCTGGTGCAAGCGTATTAGTACTCGCAGTGGGATCGAGGTGATCCTCCGACGCATGCTGAAAGGCAGGAAATCCCTGAGCCATTGAGTGTTGAGCGTGAAATGTTTCACTCAAGCCTGAACCACCCTCCGCAGCTCATCCCTTTAAAGTGAACCAACCTGAGTCTTTGCAATAACATCAGCTTCTCTGTGTAACACCCTCAAGTCCTAAAATATGGTGAAGAATTATTGAGTGGTACTTTGACAAATGTGGGGTACTGGCTTCACTTGATGGCTAATTATCTTGAAAGGCAATGATTTCAAGTGGTGAAAGTAGTTCTAAAGTAAAAATTGTGCAACTAGAAGGCATAATTACAAAATAATAAAAGAATCCTATCAAGCTTTTACATTGGTTTTGTTAATGCAAAGCTATAGGGGAAGAAAACTGATTTCTTTTTCTTGTGGAAGTAGCACGCACACTTTCTTCTTTCTCTGAAAAGCCTTAAGGGGATGAGTTTTTAATCTGTGAATGTGCCATTAGCATTAGCCACAAGTCAGGGTCTGTGACTTCTCTCCAAAGTGCCTAGAAAACAGTGTGCTTTTGATTCCACTACCCTTTCCCTTATGTGCTGAGTGCACTCAGAAATGTTTGAAGAAAATGAGCATCTTGTTTGTTTGGAATCTAAAGCTGGTGTGGTGTAGGGTTCTGTTTTCTGTCAGTTTAGGGTCTTGCAAATATGTGTCCATTAGGGATGTAAAGGGGTAACTGGTTACCTGGTAAGCGTTAACCAGTGGCTCAGTCGGAGCAGCCCTCTCCGCCTGCAGTGCCAGGCTCACCATGTCAAAAGGAGACCAGTTAAACTGGTTAACTTTCTAAACGACAGTTTACATCCCTAATATCCATGAAGAGTCCTGTTGCAGAAAGTGGGGCTCCAGGCAGCCATAGAGTTGTCTTGCATAGATTTAATTGCAAGATCTCAACCTATTGGTGGAGCTTCTGGTAAGCTACAGCAGTAGCAGATGTTGGTTTCTTTTCCTTTTTCTCTGTTAGCAAGAATTCCTTTTGTCATTGGGTAAAGAGTCCAACGCCCAACTTCTTAATGGCACCTGAAGACTTCCCCGAAATTAACACCTGTGCCCAGGAGCCCATAGGCTCCTCTGCATTGCTTACGTTTTCCACTTAGTCCCCCAAATTAACACACATTGGAGATTAAGCTTTGAAAAGACCTTCTCTATTGGGGTGAATTTCACACTAAGTGTGAAGCTATGAGAGCTTTTAAGAATAGAATTTACAGTCTATTTTCAGAAGCAGCGAGGAGTCCTGTGGCACCTTATAGACTAACCGAAGTGTTGGAGGGCAAAGAGCCACTTCGACAGATGCATGTAGTGGAAATTTCCAGAGGCAGGTATAAATATGTAGTCTGTTTTCAGGATTCTCTAAAATACATGGATCAAAATGCCCGTTTTGTTCAACTTTAAACAAATTGACATTGAATAGAAATGTCCCCACTGCATCTATTAATTAAAAGAGTTTTTGATATCAAAAGCTTTGAAAACTTTCCTCTAGTATATTGCGAGCGCCTTGTGCTAAGGTGTAAAACAGACTGTGAAGCTGTCATGTTTTATTCTCTGGCCAAGTTTAGTGCAGTGTGACAAGTATATGAGGCTATCTTGAGGGGAAATTAGCTGCAAAAGCTACTACTGATGGAGTAGTAAAGGTGAGATTCAGGTTTGTGATATTAAGGAGATCCCAGAAGTTGAGATTTCTACCACAAAGTGACTGTATCCAAATGAACAATTGCAGGCAGGCTGGGAGCCACAAAGTGCCCGTTATAAGTGCCTCACTGTTTAGGGACCTAGCTTGAGACCTCTTGAGCTCATTTTACAAACCTTTCAAAATGACAGTTAAAATGTTGCCTTGTGACTTTAAAGTGGGAAGGAGTTTGGACCTCTTTGGGACAGTGTATGGGCCGTGAAGTTAGGCCTATCTGACACATTTCTTACCCTAAGTCTGTAGCAGCTGGGGGACACTAATCATGTGCAGAAGGCTGAAAACACCTTTCCTTCCACCTTGGTATTGGCTGCAGAAGGTAGCTGGGAGTAAGAAAGTCCCCATGAGTACCAGTCAAGGTTATTTCCAGAGCCCTCAATTTGAAAAATGGGATTCAGTAGGAGTTTGTGCTCTAGAGGCAGCTGTGGGGAAACATCAGAGCAGCGCTAATAATTCAACACCCCCAAACATCTAACGGCCCCTCTGCTTACAATAAACACAGTCAAGTCTGGCATGATCTCCAAGAAGATCACTAGCTGATACAATGGTGGGTCCTGTATAACTTCTGCAGATACTGAGATGGCTGGCTGTGGGGAGCAAGTTAGTTTATGAGGAGGGACTTTGCTCTTTTGGTACCTGGCAAATGATCACACTTCAAGGTTTAGTATTAAGGGTTGTGTACCTCTCCAGAGGCATGTAGGCAGGGTGGGTGTAGCTTAATGTTGCTGTCTAGAATCATAGAATACTAGACCTGGAAGGGACCTTGAGAGGTCATCATGTCTAGTGCCTTGCCCTCATGGCAGAACCAAGAACCGTCTAGACCATCCCTGATAGATGTCTAACGGCAGAACCAACAACCGTCTAGACCATCCCTGATAGTGGTCTATCCCACTGGCTCTTAAATATCTCCAGTGATGGAGATTCCACAACCTCCCTAGGCAATTTATTGCAGTGTTGAACCACCCTGACTGGAAGTTTTTCCTAATGTCCAACCTAAACCTCCCTTGCTGCAGTTTAAGCCCATTGCTTCTTGTCCTATCCTCAGAGGCCAAGGAGAACAATTTTTCTCCCTTCTCCTTGTAACAACCTTTTAGATACTTGAAAACCGCTAACATGTCCCCTCCCAATCTTCTTTTCCAAACTAAACAAGCCCAATTCCTTCAGCCTTCACTCATAACTCATGTTGTCTAGACCTTTCATCATTCTTGTTGCTCTTCTCTGGGCCTTCTCTGTTGCGTTTCAAGCATATTTTAATAATAAAAGACACACTGAGGATGAAATGTGTGGTATGAATTGGATGATTGGACATGGGTTACGGTACTTCTCATATTTCAGGCTTGAGACTCTTAAGCAAAGACTGCCAACCGTTCATGAATTTTCAGTGTCTGTGATGTGCAAAAATACCTGCTAGGGCCCAGTAGGGCTGCGTGTGTGTGCCAGGATCTCGAAGTACTGTGCTAGTTATCTGAGGCTCACAACCCCCACCAGCCGAGAGCAGTCATTCTTATTTGTCAGATAAGGAAACACAGGCTGAATTTAAGATGGGGCTGAGCAACCATAACTTCCTTTTTAATGGGAGATCCAGGTCTGTGGCACTGCAGGAAAAAATCACTTGTCAAAGGCTCCAGCTGGGATCAGAATTGGAGCTCACCAGCTCCTTGATCTCAGGACATTGTGCACACACGATATGTCTATTTTAAGAGGTCCCGGTGTACTTCCTTGAAAAGAAGCCATGACGGGCAATCTAGGCTAGTGAGTGAGCCACATGAGTGGCCCTCCTTCCTCTCAGTGGGCTTGCAAGATTGTCTGCAGGTTGCCCACCACTAAATGGCAGGGACTCCTATGTAATATATGCAGAAAGCAAAGTCCATATGAAAGAACCTCAGCAAAACACTTGCCAGCTCAGCCAGAGAAAGGATGAAAAAAGGCATTAATAAGGGGCATCTCTGTTTTAATAACATATCTTCGGTCCTTATTTTCAATTGATCTTTTACAAGGAATGTGAAAAAAAAATAGAGGTGGAAGAGACTAGCACTGATCAGTGGTCAATGCAGGATTGTTTCCCACAGTTTGTTTGGCAAATCCTATTTGTAAATGTCTCAGGGAGTTTCCATCCTTTGAAGACTCTTCTCGCAGCCTAATAGAATACTCATCCCAAGGAACTGTCCTTAGTATTCAACTTCATGTCCCATTTAGCCCTAATCCAACTTTTTGTATGAGTGGGGAAATAGCATTTGTTCTTCATATATTGGGGTTTTTTTTGTGTCAGCTTCTTTGTAGGAGTTCAGATATCACATTTTAAATTGATCTTTCCTATGGCAACTCCTTGGGTAGGGGACAGGTTCTCAAGAGATCATTGTCTCAGTTTATTGCTCCTCGTTTTCAAAATTAACCTGAAAATGCTGTTTGCGTGTGTGTGTGTGTTTTAATATTAGCCCCTTTGCAAGAATGCTTCCTCATTTGTAAAATGTGGGGTCATTCCCCTAGCTAAGGGCACCAGTCCCTGTGGACTGTATATGAAGATGTCCTTTTGTCCCACAGGGAAGGTAGTGATGGTGTATCACTCTTCTAAATCTACACCAGGCCACCAGGAATTTAGCACTGGAGACTGTCCATCCTATCATATCTGCTGTAAATCTGCAGTGGATGGAGAACACCCACGAAATACCTTATTTTATATGATTTATTGGTTATTGACCATTAGAGTTTTGGTGTAGGGTCCGATTTGACAATGGGACGAAGTAACACTAAACTGTTGTGTATCCCTCCCTTCTTCCAGTGTACCTAATATCTTTTGTCATTCGTTTCTCTGTTTAGAGTGCAAGATCTTTGATGCAGGAATCTGTCTTATTACCTATCTATATTGCAATGTGCTTAACAAGCTTTGGGTGTGATACAAATAACTCATATAGATTATTCATAGATAATTCATTTGTGACTCATTATAAATGATTGAATGTTCTTGAATTTTGCCCCCATGTTGCAAGCTGCCCCAGCCAGGCAGACCTCTGCATCCCTTAACGGGACACTTTGTGGATACAAGAGACTGCTCCTGTACAGCAGCTTGCAAGATCAGAGCTTTGTTAATGAATGAGTTCTTGATTATGCATGCTTGATAATGAGTGATTTAAGTCGAGTGATTTTTATTAGGAAATATTGATTATTAATGTTTACTATTTGGAATCTATGGCTAAGTTTAATCAAATGGGGATGGTCATAAGCCATAACTGGTAGGTTAATATCAGTGACTAATTATGGCTTGAATAATGAGGCTTATTAATAATTGACTATTCTGTGTTGCATTATTTAATAATTAAAACCAATAGTACTTATTCATAATTAATACCACCTAATAATAAATAATCAAATGTTTGTTAATAACCAACCATAAATTATTATTGGTCTTGGCAGCAGCCAATGGCTTCCTTCATAGGAAACCCGGT